AGTTCTAGGAATTTATACTAGGGAAGTATTCAGGGATGTGGGCAAGTCTTTAGCTACCAGGATGCCACTATAGTGAGGTATGTAATAGCAAACTGTGCCTCTTACCCTGAAACCGTCAACACTCAGCAATAGGTCAAATAAACCATGATAAACCAGAAGGACAGAATGCCATATAGTAATTAAAGATGCAGTCACTTAAGAATTTTAATGACCTGACCGGGCACGGTGGCTCACACCTGTCCCAGCACTTTGAGAGGTGGAAGAGGGCAGATCATGAGATCAAGAGATCAAGACCATCCTGATGATGAAACTCCGTCTCTACCAAAAAGACAATTAGCCGGGCATGTAGTCCCAGGTGCCTGTAGACCCAGCTACTCAAGGAGGCTGAGGCAGGAGAATCGTTTGAAACTGGGAGGTGGAGGTTGCAGTGAGCTGAGATTGTGCCATTGTACTCCAGACTGGGAGACAGAGTGACACTCAGTCTCAAAAAAAAAAAAAAAAAAGCCAGGTGCAGTGGCTCATGCCTATAATCCCAGCACTTTGGGAGGCTGAGGCAGGTGGATCATGAGGTCAAGAAATCGAGACCATCCTGGTCAACAAGGTGAAACCCCGTCTCTACTAAAAATACAAAAAATTACCTGAGCATGGTGGTGCATGCCTGTAATCCCAGCTACTTGGGAGGCTGAGGCAGGAGAATTGCCTGAACCCAGGAGGCGGAGGTTGCGGTGAGCCGAGATTGTGCCATTGCACTCCAGCCTGGGTAACGAGCGAAACTCCGTCTCATTAAAAATAAATAAATAAATAAATAAATAAATTAGCTGGGCATGGAGGTACACGCCTGCAGTCCCCACTCAGGAGGCTGAGGCAGGACAATTGCTTGAACCCGGGAGGAAAAGGTTACAGTAAGTCGAGATTGTGCAGCCTGGTGCCTGAGCAAGACTGTCTCAAGGAGAAAAAAAAAGAATTTTAATGACCCAGTAAAAGCTAGATACAACGTACAGTATTATCTGGATTTCTCTTTTTTTTGAGACAGGGTCTCACTATATTATCCAGGCAGGAGTACAGTGGCACCATCAAGGTTCACCACAGCTCAACTTGCTGAGATCAAGCAATCCTACCCCAGCCACTCAAGTAGCTGAGACTATAGGTGTATACCACTAAGCCCCACTAATTTTTTTTTTCAGATAGAGGTTGCCCAGACCAGAGTACAGTGATGCAATCACGACTCACTGCAGCCCTGAACTCTGGGGCTCAAGCAATCCTCCTGCCTTAGCCTCCCAAAGTGGTAGGATTACAGGTGTGAGCCATGTGCCTGGTCTACTGGATATATTTTAAAGCTAAATTATATACAAGCACCCCTTGCACTCAAAGGAGTACTGAAAGAATATATACCAATAAATTGGTAACCATTTCTGGATAACACAAATTGCAATTAACTTACCATTTTAATCATTTCAAGTGTACAGTTCGGGGCATTACGTTTTCACACTGTTGTGTTACCACTGCCACTATCCATCTCCAGAACATTTTCATCCCAAAACTGAAATCTGTACTCATCAAACAATAACTCTATTTCCCCCTCTCCAAGTCCCTAGTAACCACTATTCTACATTCTGTCTCGATGAATTTAGTTTTTTTTGTTTTTAACTGCTCCTTGTGAAGCAAGGCTAACCTACAGGCAGTGTGCCCAGAGTAACCAAATTTAACTATTCTAGGTATCTCAGATAAGTGGAAACATATAACATGTGTCCTTTCATGTCCAATTTATTTCAGTTAACATGATGTCTTCAAGGTTCATCCATGGATTTTTGTTTATCTGTATTTTCTAAGTTTTCTATGATGCACATATATAACTTTACAAGAATATCAGGCTTTTCTCAACTTCACCTAATCTGACTTCAGAAAGTTCACAAAAAAAACATCATTCACTTACTAGCAGCTAAAAAGGTATTTAAGACTTAGGTGAGAAAAATAAGCCACAGTAGGATGATTCAAGGGGGTTTGGACAGCTCCACTTTAAGACTGTGCCTACAGCAGGTCAGAGAACGTAAGCAAACTGTCTAAGATCACACAGCCCAGTAAAGAACTCTCACCAATATTACTGCCAGCAATTACTGTGTGTGTATTCTGCACAGAACCCTGTGCTAGGAGTACAAATAACCAACCTAATTATTAGAAGTTGTCAATCTAATGGAAGATAAATAAATGAAAAAAATAAACTGAGATGAGCCTGAATTTTTCCATAAGGACTTGGAAAATTTTGATGCCACTTCTACAAATAAAAATTAGGAGGTCAGGCATGGTGGCTCACGCCTGTAATCCCAGTACTCTAGGAGGCTGTGGTGGGCAGATCATCTGAGGTCAGGAGTTCGAGACGAGCTTGGCCAACATGGTGAAACCTTGTCTTTCTTAAAAAAATACAAAAAAAATGAGCCAGGTGTGGTAGAAGGCACCTGTAATCCCAGCTACTTTGGAGGCTGAGGCATGAGAATCACTTGAACCTGGGAAGTAAAGTAAAGGTCACAGCGAGCCAAGACTGTGCCACTGCACTCCAGCCTGGGTGACGGAGCAAAACTCCATCTTAAAAAAAAAAAATTAGGAGACAGAGCCTGGTTCTATGATGATGATGCTAATTTTTAGATGCTATGATAGAGAATGTGTTTTCTAGACTATTCTGCCTTTTGTACAGGGACATTTCACATTGCCAAATGGTCCCATACATGGTAAAGCTGGTTGGGCGCAGTGGCTCACACCTGTAATGCCGGCACTTTGGGAGGCAGGAAGATCACAAGGTCAGGAGTTCGAGACCAGCCTGGCCAACACGGTGAAACCCCCTTCTCTACTAAAAATACAAAAATTAGCCAGGCATAGTGGTGCATGCCTGTAATCCCAGCTACTTGGGAGGCTGAGGCAGGAGAATCACTTGAATCTGGGAGGCAGAGGTTGCCGTGAGCCAAGATTATGCCATTGCACTCCAGCCTGGATGACAAGAACAAGACTCTGTCTCAAGAAAAAAAAAAAAAGGTAAAGCTTTTATTTACTTCATAAGTGACCAAACTATTGGCCTTGACCGTAAGGTCCAGAAAGTAAAATTGTGTACTTTCTTTTTTTGAGATGGAGTTTCACTCTTGCTGCCCAGGCTAGAGTGCAGCAGCATGATGTCAACTCATTGCAACCTCCGCCTCCCAGGTTCAAGTGATTCTCCTGCTTCAGCCTCTCATATATATATATTTTTAAAATTCTTTTTGTCCTCCGTCAAGACAAACTGTCCTTGGTTAAAAAAATCTTTTTTTTTTTAAAGAAAAAAGATGATTTGGCCAGGCACGGTGGTTCAAGCCTGTAATCCCAGCACTTTGGGAGGCCGAGGCGGGTGGATCACGAGGTCAAGAGATCGAGATCATCCTGGTCAACATGGTGAAATCCTGTCTTTACTAAAAATACAAAAAATTAGCTGGGCATGGTGACGTGTGCCTGTAATCCCAGCTACTCAGAAGGCTGAGGCAGAATTGCCTGAACCCAGGAGGCAGAGGTTGCAGTGAGCCGAGATTGTGCCATTGCACTCCAGCCTCGGTAACAAGAGTGAAACTCCATCTCAAAAAAAAAAAAAAAGAAAGAAGATGATTTATGAGCAATTAAAAAGAAACACTATTAAAAATACAAAAATTAGCCAGGTATGGTGGCATGTGCCTATAACCCCTGCTACTCAGGAGGCTGATGCAGAGAATCGCTTGAACCACCTGGGAGGCAGAGGTTGCAGCGAGTTGAGATTGTGCCACTGCACTCCAGCCTGGGCAAGAGTGTGAGACTCTGTCTCCAAAAAAAAAAAGAAAAACAATAACAAATAGGCCAGGTGTGGTTGCTTATGCCTGTAATCCCAGCATTTTGGGAGGCTGAGATAGGAGGATCACTTCAGCCCAGGAGACCAGTCTGGGCAACATAGTGAGATGTTGTCTCTAGTAAAAATTTAAAAATTAGCTGGGTGTGTTGGTGGGCACCTTGGTCCCAGCTACTCAGGAAGCTGAGGTAAGAGGATTGCTTGAGCCCAGGAAGTCAAAGCTACAGGGAGCCATGACTGCACCACTGCAATCCAGCCTGGGTGACAGAGTAAGACCCTGTCTCAAAGAAACCAAAACAACAAACAAACTAGATTTTAAAAGGAAAAAAATAAAGAACAGAAGTATCTACAAAACAGTGAAAGGCTAGATGGTCTCTAACATGAAGAGAACCCTGTAGCCTCCAACTTGGTACCAAGAATAAACACCAAAATTGCAATTGCTGGCAATAATATTAGTGAGAGTTCTGTACCTGGCTGTGTGGCCTTAGGCAGTTTGCTTACCTTCTCTGATCTGCAGTAGGCATATTCTTAAAATGAAGATTTCCAGACCCCTTTTAATCATCCTGCTGTGGCTTGTTTTTCTCACCTCTCTTGATACAATAGTGCTGTCACGTTTTTGCTATAGGCCAAATGATGTTTTTTGTTTGTGAGATGGAGTCTGACTCTGCCACCCAGGCTGGAGTGCAGTGGTACAATCCCAGCTCACTGCCACCTGTCTCCTGGATTCAAGTGATTCTCCTGTCTTAGTCTCTCAGAGTAGCTGGGATTACAGGCGTTGGCCACCACACCCAGCTAATTTTTGTATTTTTAGTAGATATAAGGTTTCACCATGTTGGCCAGACTGGCCTCAAACTTCTGACCTCAGGTCATCCGCCCACCTTGGCATACCAAAGTGCTGAGATTAGCAAATGGGTTTTGAAGGTTTAGCTTATTCATGAAATTCAGTATTTAGTATGCTATAATAAGCTAGGCAGTGTGTGTGTGTGTGTGTGAAATAAAAGGTGGTATGAGTTCCATCAAGGTGCTTACACTTTAAGGAGACAATGAACCACAAAACACCTGTTATGCCAATAATTCAAAGAGATGATGTCAGCAATCCTAAGAATGTGGGATACATAATACTGATACAAAGGACACCAGACACATACACACACACGCTTTTTACCTGAGTGGTTAAAATATCACTCTGAGAGGATAGCCCTGAGCAGTCTTCAGTGATGCTTGTTTCACTCTCATACCCAAATGCTGCTTCACCTTAAGTAACAATAAAAACAGAGGTTCAGATGTAAAAGCAGACTATAAACACTGCCACTTGCTGTATCTTTTTCTTCTCACTGGCAGGACTGGATTTACTTTCATGTCACAGAAAATGATTAAATTCCTTGCTTTGGGACACCGGGATTTCCTTTTAGAAAATGAAACCACAAGTAAGTACACCAATAATTACGATGTTAAATCTCATTCAATCAAAGATGACACTCTAACTGGGTGTCAAAGATTTTTGACTTTTTAGAAAAAGCACCTTAGGAGGAACACGTTTCATGTTTAAGAAGCAGTTCCTTTAACTATACTTGGAAATTTGTAAAATGTGCTCCCCAAAAGGCATAAACATTTAGCTCATTTCTATAAACAGATTGGGCAAACACAAAAACCTGATTCCAATACCTAAGTTCGAATCCATACTTTGCTCTTCTTGATTATCTTCTTCCAAGTCTATTCCCCTTTCTTCATCATCTGAATCCAATTCCTTGTCACTCAGACCAACTCCCTGGCTTTCAGACTGATGCCTCTTTTGTTTGGAAGAATCAATCAAGAAAGGATCCTGGGTGTTTGTATTTGTAGTCAAGTCTTCCAGTTCACTGCACTGTGAAGAAAACAAGCTACCAGAACATTTTGTTTCCTCACTAAGGTGATGTTCCTGGGATGCCTTTGCCAATATTACCTGGTTACTGCAGTCATTTAAGCTACTCTTCAATGATAATAAATTCTCCTGTGTGTTCTTAGACAGGCACTCAATAGCAACAGTGCTATGCCTGGTAGACTGAGGTGTATTGCTTACTTTACCAAATAACAAGTGTTGGAAGCAGGGAAGCTCTTCTTCCTCACTAGATAAGTTCTCTTCCGAGGACTCTAATTTCTTGGCCCCTCTTTGGTAAACCTGAGCCAAATGCGTATGGGTGAAAGGGCTAGGGCTCCTGCTGAGCTCTCCTCTCTGGACACTTTTGCTAAAAACAGCAGAAGTTTCCTTAATGCCATATTCAGCAAAACTAGTATCTTCCTTTATTTCACCATCATCTAACAGGTCCTCAGGTGTCTCAGAACAAACCTGACATGTATGACTGCTTCCCATATGCTGTTCTACGTTATCTGAAATCAGACATGGAGAGAGGTCTGTATTAACAGTCTGAACTACTTCATGTTCTTGCTTTTTAGTGTCAGGATGTTTACAATTACTTATAGGAAGACTTTGCTTATACATCTCAGGTTGCAAAAGCTCTAATCTAAGCATAGCATTCAATTTTGGCCTTCTGTTTCTACCTATCTCTGCTTGAATGTTTTCATCACTGGAACCTACTTCATTAATACTGGAGCCTACTTCATTAGTACTGGAACCTACTTCATTAATACTGCTTGAGCTGGTTTCTTTAAAAGCATTTTCTCTGTTATTGTGGCTAATTGTGCTCACTGTACTTGGAATGATGTTCTTGTTTCCCATTGCTCTTTCAGGTGACATTGAATGTTCTTCAGAGTTTTCCTCTAGCAGGTTTTTCTTATATTTAGTTTTAACGAATGACCTGGTGGGAATAAGTGGTGGTATATGATATGGGTTTTGTAAAAGTCCATGTTTATTTGGAATAATGAGTCCAGTTTCATTGCCTCTGAACTGAGATGATAGACAAAGCCCAGAGCCTCCTTCAATACCTTTGGCATAATCAACTGGCTTATCTTTCTGACAAACCATAGGAAAGCCTGCAGTGATGTTAACTGTCTCTACAGGCTCGCTATTAGACTCTTTCTCTCCTTGATTTTCTTCCTTTTGTTCACATTCAAGAGTGACCTTTGGACTTTGTTTCTTTAAGGGTCCAGAGTGGGCAGAGAATGTTGCACATTCCTTTTCTGGATTTCCTGGATTTGAAAACAGAGCAAATGACTGGCGCTTTGAAACCTTGAATGTATTCTGCAAATATTGAGTATCAAGTTCACTTTCTTCCATATCTATGCTTGTTTCCTGACTGTAGTTAACTTCAGGTCCCAATGGATACTTAAAGCCTTCTGTGCCATTTCTAGTATCTTTAGAACCACCATGAATTAGTTCCTTGGGGTTTTCAAATGCTGCACACTGACTCACACATTTATTTGGTTCTGTTTTTGCCTTCCCTAGAGTGCTAACTTCCAGTAATGAGATACTTTCCTGAGTGCCATAATCAGTACCAGGTACCAATGAAATACTGCTACTCTCTACAGATCTTTCAATTTGCAAAACACTTTCTCCACTTAACATGAGATCATTGGGGTCTTTGGCATCATTAGACAGTTTAACTGTTTCTAGTTTCTCTTTTTCTTCTCTTGGAAGGCTAGGATTGACAAATTCTTTAAGTTCATTAGTATTTGAACAGTTAGTAAAAGAATCAGGTATGTTTGTTAACCTCAGTTCTGGGAAAGTATCACTGGCATGTCTTTTACTTTGTTCATTTGACTTGCTACTCTTTTTGGCTCCAGTTGAACGTTCTTTATCTTCCATGAGTTGTAGCTTTCTGCTGTGCCTGACTGGCATTTGGTTGTAATTTTTTTTCTTTAGCTCTTCACTGCTAGAACAACTATCAATTTGTACTTCAGTATAATTAGGTGGGCTTAGATTTCTACTGACTACTAATTCAAGCTCATGAATATGCCTGGTAGAAGACTTCCTCCTCAGCCTATTCTTTTTAGATGCTTTGGAATTGTGGATATTTAATTCTAGTTCCATATTGCTTATACTACTGCTTATAGGTTCAGCTTTACTTCTGAAAGATTCTTTTTCCAGTGATTCTACTGGGTTAGGATTGTTCTCATTCTGAATAGAATCACCTTTTGTTTTATTCTCATGGCCACTGTTAGTAATATTCATCACTTGATCATTCCGCTCCATTTGGTTAGTTCCCTGATTTATCTTTTCAGGAGTCTTTTGAACTGCCAAATCTGCTTTCTTGATAAAATCCTCAGGATGAAGTCCTGATGTAACTCTCCTTTTACGCTTTAATTTATTTGTGAGAGGATGCTCTTGTGTTATCTGTGGTTCAGTAACAAATGCTCCTATAATTAGATTTTCAGTTACATGGCTCAAATTCGGGAGGCTTGCCTTCCTCCGATAGGTTTTCCCAAATATTTTATCTTCAATACTACTCTCTACTGATTTGCAATGAACTCTTTCACTTTTACATATTAAAGCATCATGAGGATCACTGGCCAGTAAGTCTATTTTTTCTGAAGAACTAGAATATCCATCTACTTCATTTAGAACTTCCAATGCTTCAGCTACTTTGGCATTTGATTCAGACCCCTCGTCATGTGAGTCATCAGAAGTTAACAGTTCATCACTTCTGGAAAACCACTCATTAACTTTCTGAATGCTGCTATTTAGTGTTAACCAAGCAACATCTTCAGTATCATCTCTAGGCTTCTCAGAGCATGGAGGTTTCTGCTCATTCCATTCTTTTCTCCCATGCAGGGGATCAGCATCCAGATCTACCTTTTTCTCTGTGCTGGGAGTCTGCCTATCATTACACGTTTCCTCACTTTCAGCCCATCTGTTATGTTGGCTCCTTGCTAAGCCAGGCTGTTTGCTTTTATTACAGAATTCAGCCTTTTCTACATTCAGTCTGTCTTTAGTGAGTAATAAACTGCTGTTCTCATGCCATAATGAGCTGGCATGAGTATTTGTGCCACATGGCTCCACATGCAAGTTTGAAACAGAACTACTCTGATACTTTTCTGGATGCCTCTCAGTTGCATGCTTCTCAGTGGTGTTCAAATTGTTACTACTGGATTGATGATGTTCAGTATTTGTTATATCCTTCTCAGAAAACTCACAAGGAGCTGAAAATATACAAAAATAACAAAGTACTCAAAAACTGAATTGCCATTAAAAAAATACAAACTTAATACAACTTGGAGGTGGAAATCAACTAACTGGTTATATTTAGAGAAACTTCATGAACTACCAAGTATACCTAGGATGTAGATCATACTTTTCATTTAATTCCTATTTACCCAGATTATTTCCACTTAAGATCCATTAAATTTTTAAATTCAGATTTTTCCCTATACAAAAACCACAACTCCTATTTCTCTAACATCTAAGAGGGAATTAAAAGCAGAATGGTCATCAGAAAACTGGTTCTGATGTACTCTAAAGATCATTGGTCTACTTAATACTCTGTTCTACCTACAGATTTACCACTCCCTGTATTTAAAAACTAGTAGGTAAAAGATGTAATACAAACACATCAATTAAAAGTAAAGGGGAGGCCAGGCACAGTGGCTCATGCCTGTAACTGCAGCACTTTGGGAGGCCAAGGTGGGCAGATTGCTTGAGTCTAGGAGTTTGAGATCAGCTTTTATAGAGACCTGTGTCTATAGAACCACAAAAAATTAGCCAGGTGTGGTGGCATGCGCCTGTAGTCCCCGCTATTCAGGAGGCTGAGGTGGGAAGATAGCTTGAGCCTGGGAGGTGGAGGTTGCAGTGAGCCGAGACTGCACCACTGCACTCCAGCCTCGGCAACAGAGTGAGACGCTGTCTCAAAAAAAAAGTAAAGGGCAACAATCAGTTATGGAAGGTCTTATTTGAGCTACATTAGTGTAGTAACATTGAAATTTAATGGGCCATACCGTGACACTTGACAAAGAATGATACTTAAACTCTGCCAAGAGATTTTGTGGATTGTAAAGGTCCCAAATGGTCTTAAGAATAATCTAATTACAGTACAGTATCTACCTACTCTCTTAACAGTGCCTGTTAAGTGGGAAACCTTGCCATTACCCTTTTTTGCAGAATCCAAACTGGTTTCATCCCTGGTTCCTTGAGGGGTGATTTGTAACAATTCTTGATCTCCCACACTATAGGGATAAGACAGAAGTCCTAATAAGAAAACACTAGTAATATGCATGCAGAACTGTAAAATGATCAAGATCAAATATTTTAGCTCTTTCAGTTGCAGAAAGCCAACCAATCTTATTCACTTATTGAAAGCTACTCTCTCCTTTAAAAAATTATAGTTGAAATGGAATGGTTGCCGGGTCTGGTGGCTCACGCCCATAACCCCAGCACTTCGGGAGGCCAAGGTGGGTAGATCACTTGAGGTCATGAGTTCAAGACCAGCATAGCCAACATGGTGAAACCCCATCTCTACTAAAACACAAAAATTAGCTGGGTGTGGTGGCGTGTGCATGTCGTCCCAGCTACTCGGGAGGCTGAGGCAGGAGTATGGCTTGAACCTGGGAAGCAGAGGTTGCAGAGAGCTGAGATCATGTCACTGCACTCTAGCCTGGACAAGGGAGTGAGACTCCGTCTCAAAAAAAAAAAAAAAAAAAGAAAGAAAGAAAGAAATGGAATGGCCAGTTATCTGGGTGTGGTGGTGTGCGCCTGTAGTCTCAGCTACCTGGGAGGCTGAGGCAGGAGAATCGCTTGAACCTGGGAGGCAGAGGTTGCAATGAACTGAGATTGCACCACTGCACTCCAGCCTACGGTGACAGAGTGAGACTCCGTCTAAATAAAAAGAAAGAGAAAAAAAGAAATAGAATGGTCAAAGACTGAGGATGCAGTCACAAAAATCAGGACAGTAGTATAGTAGTGATTTATGGACATGCAAATAAAAGCCAAAATTTAAATGATAACCAAAAGATAGTTTTTAAAAACACTTAAAAGTATATCTTAATGACAGGCAGAAGCAAGGATATGTAAACAAAGGGAACACTAGGATTGCAGATAACCCAACAGAATGCAAACCACCACTTTGCTACATTACCTTCTGTGCTTTTTCAGTCTAAAAACCACTTGCTTCCAATTATGAGATTAGGGAAGTCAGTTATAAACTAAAACTGACAATATCACGCCTGTAATCCCAGCACTTTGGGAGGCCAAGGTGGGTGACTCACTTGAGCTCAGGAGATTGAGAACAGGCTGGCCACTATGGTGAACCCGGTATCTACTAAAAATACAAAAATTAGCCAGGCATGGTGGTGCATACCTGTAATCCCAGCTGCTCTGAAGGCTGAGGCAGGAGAATCATTTGAACCAAGGAGGTAGAGGCTGCAGTGAGCCAAGATTGTGCCATTGCACTCCAGCCTGGGTGACACAGTCAGACTCCATCTCAAAAAAAAAAAAAATCTTGGGCCAGGCACAGTGGCTCACTCCTGTAATCCCAGCACTTTGAGAGGCTGAGGCAGGTGGATCACAAGGTCACGAGTTCCAGACCAGCCTGACCAACATGGTGAAACTCTGTCTCTACTAAACACAAAAATTAGCCAGGCATGGTGGCGTGCACCTATAATCCCAGCTACTCAGAAGGCTGAGGCAGGAGAATCACTTGAACCTGGGAGGTAGAGGTTACGGTGAGCCAAGATCATGCCATTGCACTCCAGCCTGGGCAACAGAGCAAGACTTTGTCTTAAGAAAACCAAAACACAAAAAAACCAACTTAGGGTCAAGCAGTAATTCCTAAGGAAGGTAGATAGCGTAGTTGGGGGCTGCTTGTAGATTGTTATATAAGTTATATAGACAAAGCTTGAAAGATAAATGGAAATAAGGAACAGAAAGAGTTGAAAATAAAGTCCTGGAACATTTTCATCAGTCACAATTACTACTGTGTCAACATTACTATACTGAGGAACTTAGAGAATAATAATCTGCTAGAAGCAAGTATGTGCAAAGTTCTACTGTTGTCCTAAATTCCTTTGGACAGTGCTAATACCTAAATCAAACAAACAAAAAGGGTATTTTCTCCACTATAAAATGAGAGGACTAAACTAGATGATCTCTAAGTTTTCTTCCAATACCATTATTTTATTTAGAGAAACACCAGCCTACTTGAGGGAGGAAGGTGGGAGAAGGAAGAAATTCAGAAAGAAAGAAAACAAACAAAAAAACCTGTGGGGTATGCTTAGCACTGAGTGATGAAAAAAATCTGTACACCCAATCCCAAGTTGTGTGTTTACCTATATAACAAACCTACACATGTATCCCTGAATTGAAAACAAAAGTTAAAATATTTTTTAAAAGAGAGACATCAATCCTTAATATTAACTAAATAGGAATATACCAGCTTCATGGAAAAAGGTTCTCTTGGACTCACCTGCAGTAAGTTTTCTTATTAATTGTATCTTCAGAAGAATCAGATCCTAAAAAATTTCCCCCCCAAAAAAAATCGATAAAAGGTTTCTTAATTAAAAGGGTTAAACAAAAAATGTACTTGTTGAAAAACATAGTCATCTATAAATATTTACTAAGTAACTACTATGTGGCAGGCACAATGCTAGTTAAGCCAGTATGTAATACAGAGAAGTGGTTAAAAGCACAGGCTCGGCCAGGCACAGTGGCTCTTGCCTGTAATCCTAGCACTTTAGGAGGCCAAGATGGGTGGATCATTTGAGATTAGGAGTTCCAGACTAGTCTGGCCAACGGGGTGAGACGCCCTCTCTACTGAAATAAAAAACACAAACAAAAAAAGCACAGGCTCTGATGCCTAATTTCCTAGGTCTGAATCATGGCTCAGCCACTTACTAGTTTTACTATGTTGGAAATGTTTCAGAACCTCCCTGTGCATTAATTTCCTCATCTGTAAAATAAGTATAATAGTAACAATCTCAGGGGTCTGACAAGCATCTAAATGAGTTATGCAAGAAAAGCACAATAGTGCCTGGAATCTAGTTAAGTGCTCATAAATATCACTAGTATCATTATTTTTACAATACCTGTTATCTAGGAATTTATGATTGTAAGGGTGGAAAACAGTTAAGTGTTAAGATGGTGGTGTGCCTGGGATGTCAAAAGATGGCTACCCTTTTAAATTAAAAATATATTTTAAAAAATACCCTAATTAGAGAGCCCAGTTTGAATTCTGAGCTCAGCTCTTCTTTTTGGAGATGGGGTCTTGCTCTGCCACCCAAGTTGGAGTGCAGTGGGATGATTTATAGCTCACTGCAGCCTCAGACCCCTGGGCTCAATCTATTCTCTCATCTCAGCCTCCTGGGTAGCTAGGACTACAAATGCACACTACCATACCCAGCTAATTTAAAAAAATGTTTTTTTGTAGAGATGAAGTCTTGTTATGTTGCCCAGGCTGGTCTCAAACTCCTGGCCTCAAGCAATCCTCTGCCACTGCTGAGATTACAGGTGTGAGTTACTATGCTGGCCTCAGCTCTTCTTTTTATAATTTTTAATATGTTTTAAAAAATCATTATTTTTTAAAATTATCATTATTATTATTTTGAAATGGAGTCTCACTCTATCACCCAGGCTGGAGTGCAGTGGCATGGTCTTGGCTTACTGTAACCTCCGCCTCCTGGATTCAAGAGATTCTCCTGCCTCAGCCTCCTAAGTAGCTGGGATTACAGGCATGTGCCATCATATCCAGCTAATTTTTTTTGTATTTTTAGTAGAGAGGGGTTTCACCATGTTGGCCAGGCTGGTCTCGAACTTCTGACCTCAGGTGATCAACCTGCCTCGGCCTCCCAAAGTGCTGGAATTACAGGCATGAGCCACCGCATCTGGCCAAAAATTTATTATTATTTTAAAAATAGAGGCCAGGCACAGTGGCTCAAGCCTGTAATCCCAGCACTTTGGGAGGCTGAGGAGGATGGATCACAAGTTCAGGAGATCAAGACCATCATGGCCAACACAGTGAAACCCTGCCTCTACTAAAAATACAAAATTTCGCCGGGCGTGGTGACGTGTCTATAATCCCAGCTACTCAGGAGGCTGAGGCAGGAGAATTGCTTGAACCCAGGCGGCAAAGGTTGCAGTGAGCCGAGATCGCGCCATTGCACTCCAGCCTGGGCAACAAAGCAAAACTCCATCTCAGAAAAATAAAATAAAATAAAATAGAGACAGGGTCTCCCTATGTTGGCCAGGCTGGTCTTAAACTCCTGGACTCAAGCAATTCTTCTGCCTTGGCCTTCCAAAGTGTTAGGATTACAGGCATGAGCCGCCCTGCCCGGCCAAGATTCTGCTCTTCTTAAAAGGCTTCCTCATCTAGTACAATTTATCTTGGATCTCGTTAAATACTGTAGCAACTCATCATCATGTTTTTTCTTACTGCTACTCTCCATCTTTCCAAAACATATTTAAAACCAGATATTCTTTCTCTTGCTCGCCACCCCCCTGGCCTTTTTTTTTTGAGATGGAGTCTCGCTCTGTCGCCAGGCTGGAGTGCAGTGGTGCGATCTTGGCTCACCGTAACCTCTGACTCCCTAGTTCAAGCTATGCTCTTGCCTCAGCCTCCCGAGTAGCTGGGATTACAGGCATGCGCCACCACACCCAGCTAGTTTTTCTATTTTTAGTAGAGACGGGGTTTCGCTGTGCTGGCCAGGATGGTCTGGATCTCCTGACCTCGTGATCCACCCACCTTGGCCTCCTTAAGTGCTAGATTACAGGTGTGAGCCACCATGCCCAGCCTCTTGCTCCCTTTTTAAAGTAAGATTCTTCAAGGTGGGAACTACATCTTTTATAACTCACCATAGGGCTCAAGAAATTCACTTCCCAAAGCTGCCTACCACAAATATAAATTATGACTAAGATTTTTAGCAAAACTATAAGAAAAGCAATCCAGAAATTATTAAATACTTTAAAAATCTGAGACCCTTACCCAAGTCAATGTAGACAGACTTATTTTGAGGTTGTATCCACTGCTTTGTCCTCAGAGATCTCACAATTCCAGGGTTAGAGAGCTGGACACTGAGATTGGTTTCCTGCTAAATAAGTATGTTAAGATCGGTCAAGCAATTGTGGGCCAATGTCTGTGCTTTTCCTCCTGAAGAGACACTTGACACCATGGACAAAATAAATTGACTATCATCAGTCAGCTAACAGGTATGACGCCTGGAAAAAATGTCCAGAAAATTATACACTAAAATGTCTGGGGCTGGGAGCAGTAGTTCATGCCTATAATCCCAGTGCTTTGGGAGGCTGGGGTAGGAGGATTGCTTGAGGCCAGAAGTGCAAGACCAGACTAAGCAACAGAGTGAGACCCAGTCTCTAAAAAATAATAGTAGTAAAAAATAGTAACAATAAAATGTCTGGAATATGTATTATTTGAATATTTTTTCTGTTTTTTTTTTTTTCAAAACTGATTATGTATTACTTATGTAAATCACATTTTGAAGTATTAATATAGCATATTCTGAAGCTGATACTTGATATACATTCCAATCACATCTGATAAATTTTTTTTTCTGCGGGGGTGGACAGAGTCTTGCAGTCACCCAGGCTCGAGTGCAGCGGCACAATCTCAGCTAACTACAACCTCTGCCTCCAGGGTTCAAACGATTCTCCTGCCTCAGTCTCCCAAGTAGTTGGGATTACAGGTCCTGCCACCATACCTGGCGAATTTATATATTTTTTTGTAGAGATGGGATAGAAATAGAAAGAAAATGGTTTTACCAAGGTAGGATTTTGGGGTTCACTCTGTCGAAGTCTTTTGGCACGATTTCTGTAGCCCATACTTTGGATGATAGAAAATTCATCTTTTAGATGTTCAGGAGAGTTATTTTCCTTTTTGGCAAAATTATAACTGTTTGCAACTGTAAATTTCAAGAGAAAACATTGTTTGCAGTTAGAGAAAAATGTACGAATTATAATCAAAGAAACCCTATATATGCTCTTTGTTGTGTTAAGACAATGCATTAAGGTAACCTATGATTTAAAAAAAAAAATCAACTGGTAATTCTACTCCTAGGAAACAAAGAAAAACAAATACACAGACCATCAAAGTTATTTAGAGTCCTTGTTTTCTACCTTAACACTAACAAATTTGTCTATCAATACCGTATTTCACTAAAGCTAAGACACCAACAATGTCAGTTGCATTATTATTTCCTGTATTACTAGAAAGAAAGCACACAAATTAAACAAATGACACATCATCAATAGTAAAATGCTCCCAATTTCACAGATGTTAAGATGTGAAAAATGTGCACCTTAGGATTAATAACAGGGTGTGAGACCAGTGGGAGTAACTTTTAAAAAACAGATTATAGAGCCAGGGACGATGGCTCACACCTGTAATCTCAGCACTTTGGTGGCACTCTGTGCTATAATCTCAGCACAGAGGTGGGCAGATCACGAGGTCAGGAGATCGAGACCATCCTGGCTAACATGGTGAAACCCTGTCTGTACTAAAAATATAAAAAATTAGCCAGGCATAGTGGTACGCGCCTGTAGTCTCAGATACTTGGAAGGCTGAGCCAGGAGAATTGCTTGAACCCGGGAGGAGGAGGTTGCAGATCGCGCCTGCGCGACAGAGCAAGACTCCATCTCAAAAAATAAAAACAGATTATAGATACAGAACTGAAATTAACCTAGACTAAGAGGTCTTATTACCACATCATAGAAAATAATTGTGCAAACTTCCTGAGTTTTCATAGACAGCACCTGAGCGTTAAGTCTTGGGCTATTAAATACTTACACTGCAAACCCGTGTCAAGCTCAAAAGCGTGAATGATTTTCAATAGTTCTTCAACAAGTTGACTAAATCTTGTACTTTCCTGTAGGCTTCTGAAATTAAATTGTTTGAAAAACACCCTCAGCAAGTGATTATCAACTTTTTAAAGACACTAAAATAAGAAAAGACATGTAAACAAAAATAAGATGCAGCAACAGTAGAACACCTCTATAATCAATACGTCATTGACATCCAAATAAACCATGTAACAGTACTGTTTTAGTAACGTTTTGTCATTCATTGAAGTCTACCAAATGCCTCAAATTATCTGATATAATACTGCCCTAAATCCATAGCAGATATAAATCCACTGGATAGAAAACTAGAGAACTTATTTCTTTAAAATTTAGAGACAGGATCTTGCTCTGTTGTGTAGGCTAGCATGTAGTGCCACAATCATAGCCCACTGCAGCCTCAAACTTCTGCACTCAAGCTATCCTCCCCCTACAGCCTCCCAAGTAGCTAGGACTATGGGGATATGCCACCATGTACTATGGTGCCCAGACTGATCCCAAACTCCTGGCTTCAAGTGATAATCCCACCTCAGCCTCCCAGTGTGGTAGGGTTTTAGGCAAGAGCCATCACACCCTGCTGGGTTTACTGTTCTTAACTTCTGAACCCCACCCAATTCCTCACTGTTAGTTCTGCCTCTCAAGGGTTTCTGTCAAATTATGATTATATTTCTTTGAAAACACAAATAGATAACAATGTCCAAAGGAAGACTTGGGTTTAGTAAAGTGGAATTAAAACATAATTCATTCATTCCTTTAAGCATCTGAGTGCCTACTATATACCAAACTTCAGAGAAAGTGTTAATTAAGACAAAGTTGCTACACTAATAGAATTTATCTTGTGGCAGAAGAGATACACAATATATAAATACATTTTGTTTGTCTAAATTATTAGATAGAAACACAAACCTTTAATCCCAGCACTTTGGGAGGCCCAGGCAGGCAAATCACCTGAGCTCAGGAGTTACCAGCCTGGGCAATGCGGCAAAACCTCATCTTCATAAAAAAATACAAAAATTGGCTGGGCATGGTAGTGTGCGCCTGTAGTCCCAGCTACTTGGGAGGCTAACATAGGAGGAGCCCGGAAGGTGGAGGCTGCAGTGAGCTGAAATCACACCACTGCACTCCAGCCTGGGCAACAGAGCAAGACCTTGTCTTAAAAAAACAAATAAATAAAAAGAAACACAGTGAAAAAAAATAAAAAGATTAGCAGACAATTGGGGCAGGGGGATAGAGCCCTACTTTACCTAAGTCTGCAAGTTCTAACACTACTTAGAAACATTAAAGAAAGGCAGTAAGTTTCTAATACATGTATAAGGCAGATGTCCCATAAAACTTTCAGGAAAATAACTCTGGAAATAATTCACTGTCTGCTAAAAACTCTTTTATAAATTTGTCTACTGATGAATGGTTTTGTAGGAACACAAGCTATGTTATTAAATAATTTCTACTTTTTCCTACTGTTGTTGCTTTCAACCTGCCATAATTACTCAAATTATATACCTTTTGGTTATATCATTCTTACACAAAGGACACTGTGAAGGCCCTTTCTTCTGGTTAAGAAGTTTCAGCATGCAAAATCTATAAATTATAAAGAAAGAACAATCCAAGTTACTTCCTTTTATAGAGACAATACTCAAAAGGCAAATAGCCATGAAAAGATAATCTCACAACTGCCCTTAAGAGCCATTTAAAAAGTAATGGCAGGTGAATTACAACCAATAGTTTCCCAATTGTTTTTAGATGCTGCATAAGCAAAAACCTAAACTACATAAGCAATGATCTATGAAAACTGAACTTACATGCATATGGCTTACTGTTATGATCACATAAAACTTATCAAAAGTTAATATGGCATATTTAATGATATATTCATAATTATTTCATGCTGCATAATCAAATATAAATGGTAAGCAGTTCATGTAAGATGACTATAATTAGTTTAAAATCTCAACACCTCACCACAAATCTATAGTAATCAAGACAGTGTGGTAATAGCATAACAGACATATACATCAATAAAATGAAATTGAGAGTATAGAAATAAACTCATACATATATCTATAATCAAGTGATTTTCAACAATAATAAATATTGAGACAATTTTCATTTTTATTTGTTTGTTTGTTTTTTTGTTTTGAGATGGAGTTTCGCTCTGTTGCCCAGGCTGGAGTGCAGTGGTACAATTTCAGCTCAATGCAAACTCCATCTCCCTGGTTCAAGCAATTCTCCTGTCTCAGTCTCCCAAGTAGCTAGGATTACAGGTGTGTACCATCATGTCCCGCTAATTTTTTGTATTTTTAGTAGCGACAAGGTTTCACCATGTTGACCAGGCTGTTTGAACTCCTGACATCAAGTGGTCCACCTGCCTTGGCCTCCCAAAATGCTGAGATTACAGGCATGAGCCACTGTGCCCCGCTAATTTTTATTTTATTTTTAAATTATTATTATTATTATTATTTGAGACAGAGTATTTCTCTGTCACTGAGTCTGAAGGGCAGTGACAATATCGGCCAACTACAACCTCCATCTCCTAGACTCAAGCAATTCTTTTGCCTCAGCCTCCCGAGTAGCTAGGATTACAGACATGCACCACCATGCCCAGCCAATTTTTTGTATTTTTAGTGTCACCATGATCCACCTGCCTTGGCCTCCCAGAGTGCTGTGAGCCACTGCTCCCAGCCCCAAGATGACTGAATGGGAAAATAACAGTTTTTGATTTTCTTAACAAATAGTGTTGGGACAAGAGTATACCCACATGTAAAAGAACGATGTAATACTCATATCTCACTCCAAATAACAAAACTAAATTCAAAGTGGATCATAGCCGGACACCATGGCTCACACCTGTAATCACAACACTTTGGGAGGCCAAAGTGGGTGGAATATGACGTCAGGAGATGGAGACACCCTGACCAACATGGAGAAACCCCGTCTCTACAAAAAAAACAAAAAATTAGCCAGGAGAGGTGGCACATGCCTGTAATCCCAGCTACTCAGGAGGCTGTGGCAGGAGAATTGCTTGAACCTGGGAGGCAGAGGTTACAGTGAGCCAAGCTCACACCATTGCACTCCAGCCTGGGCAACAAGAGTAAAACTCAATCTCAAAAAAAAAAAAAAAAAAAAGTAAGTGGATCATAGACCAGAAGTAGAGAGAGCAACGGTGATGATAATTAAAAGCGGTGATTCGGAAGGGCACGGTGGCTCACGCCTGTAATCCCAGCACTTTGGGAGGCCGAGGCAGGTGGATCACGAGGTCAAGAGATCGAGACCATCCTGGTCAACATGGTGAAACCACGTCTCTACTAAAAATACAAAAAATTAGCTGGGCATGGTGGTGCGTGCCTGTAATCCCAGCTACTCAGGAGGCTGAGGCAGGAGAATTGCCTGAACCCAGGAGATGGAGGTTGTGGTGAGCCGAGATCGCACCATTGCACTCCAGCCTGGGTAACAAGAGCGAAACTCCGTCTCAAAAAAATAAAAAAGCAGCGATTCACTCATACAGCCAATATCTGCATACTTACTACATGTCTGGTACTATTCTAGATGGAGGGGATTCAATAGAAAGGCAAAATAAGGGCCGGGCATGGTGGCTCATGCCTGTAATCACAGCATTTTGGGAGGCCAAGGCAGGCAGATCATGAGGTCAGGAGATCGAGACCAGCCCGGCTAACATGGTGAAACCCCATCTCTACTAAAAATACAAAAATTAGCCAAGCACAGTGGTGCACACCTATAGTCCCAGCTACTCAGGAGGCTGAGGCAGGAGAACTGCTTGAACCCAGGAGGTGGAGGTCGCAGTGAGCCAACATCGTGCCTCTGCACTCCAGCCTGGGGAACAGAACGAAACTACATCTCAAAAAAAGAAAAGAAAAATAAGATCCTGCAAAATAAAACAAAAAGGACATAATATTCTGGTGAAGGGGGTGACTAGGTAGGGAGTAAATAGCAGACACTGACAATGAAGAGAGCCAGGAAAGAAAAGATTAAAGGAGCTTAAAAAAAGTCACTGGGGCTGCACATGGTGGTTCACGCCTGTAATCCCAGGACTTTGGGAGGTGGGTGGATCAATTGAGGCCAGAAGTTCAAGACCAGCCTGGCCAACATGGTAAATCCCTGTCTCTACTAAATATCCAAAAATTAGCTGAGCACCACTATGGTGGTACACCTGTAGTCCCAGCTACTTGGGAGGCTGAGGCAGGAGAATTGTTTGAACCTGGGAGGCAGAGGTTACAGCGAGCCAATATCACACCACTGCACTCCAGCTTAGGCGACAGATTAAGACTCTGTCTCAAAGGGAAAAAGAAAAGGCATTGGGAATGGTGAGATAAGACACTTAGAAAATACTCTTTACTAGCCAGGTAATTTAACATTTATTACCCTCTATTGGCCAGGTGCAGTGAGTGGCTCATGCTTGCAATCCCAAGGGGCCGAGGCAGATCACTCCAGGACAGGAGTTTGAGACCAGCCTGGCTAACGTGGTGAAACCCTGTCTCTACTAAAAATACAAAAAAATTAGCTGAGCGTGGTGGTGCATGCGTGTAATCCCGGCTACTTGGGAGGCTGAGGCGTGAGAATCGCTGGATCCTTGGAAGGTGGAGGCTGTAATGAGCCAAGATCATCCCATTGTACTCCAGCCTGGGCAACAAAGTGACACTCTGTCTCAAAAAAAAAAAAAAGAAACACACACACACACACACACACACACACACACACACAGAGAGGCCAGACAGTGGCTCACACCTGTAATCCCAGCACTCTGGGAGGCCAAGGCGAGTGGATCATGAGATCAAGAGATCTAGACCATCCTGGCCAACTAGGTGAAGCCCCATCTCTATTAAAACTACAAAAAAAATTAGCTGGGTGTGGTGGCATGCACCTGTAGTCCTGGCTATTCAGGAGGTTGAGGCAGGAGAATCACTTGAACCTGGAAGGTGGAGGCTGCAGTAAGCCAAGCTCACTGCAGCTTTGAACTCCTGCCCTCAAGTGATCCTCCTGCCTTGGCCTCCCAAAGTACTGGGGTTATGGGCAGAAGCTACATCAGGTCCTTAATCTTTTTGTAAATCACTCTAATAGTATAGTATGTTCAGCATTTGTTACTCAAGGTGACGGTAAAACATACAGTTCTAAATAAACATACAATTCATTCCAGAAAGATTCTCATCCAGAGAAACTGAAAGCCCCAGCACTTTAAAAGGTTACCTTCAGCTATCTGTAATAAATACTGGAACTTTGAGTCTCACTCTTGTCACCCAGGCTGGAATGCAGTGGCAGGATCTTGGCTCACTTCAACCTCCGCTTCCAGGGTTCGAGCAATTCTCCTGCCTCAGCCTCCTGAGTAGTTTCGACTACAGGCATGCACCACCACACCCAGCTAATTTGTCTTTTTAGTAGAGTTGAGGTTTCACCATGTTGGCCAGGCTGGTCTCGAACTCCTGACCTCAGGTGATCTGCCCTCCTCGGCCTCCCAAATTCCTGGGATTACAGGCCTGAGCTACTGTGCCCGGCCAATACTGGGACTTTTTAACTTTTCCTTTTTTGAGACAGAGATACACCCTGAACACAAGTCTGCCAGCTGGCTGGTGCCTACCTCTGAATTCTGTCTTTTTCCTCCCATTCTTCTTTCCCAGTAAGAATTCAGAAGCTCATTTCTACTGTCTTTTCCCTGTCCCACGTCACCCCACTGGCCTAGATCTGTTCCCAACAGTTTCCATGTGATTCCTCAGCCCTTGCTCCCTAGACATGTGCCAAGACAATACAAGTTTATCTCTCTATTTCAAGAATTTTTAGTTTAATAACTTTGTGGCGTCTAGAGCAGTACTTCTCAAACTGTCTATGGTATAGACCAATTTTTTCACAGACCAGTACTTTCAAAAAAATAAGGCCAGGTGTAGTGGCTCAGGCCTGTAATGCCAGCACTTTGGGAGGCCAAGGTGGATGGATCACCTGAGGTAAGGAGTTCAAGACCAGCCTGGCCAACATGGTGAAACCACATCTCTACTGAAAATAGAAGAATTAGCCGGGGCGTGGTGGTGGGCACCTGTAGTCCCAGCTACTCGGGAGGCTGAGGCAGGAGAATTGCTTGAACCTGGGAGACGGAGGTTGCAGTCAGCTGAGAGTGTGCCACTGCACTACAGTTTGGGTGACAGAGGTGGAGATGCGGTGAGCTGAGATCGCACCATTGCATTCCAGCCTGGGCAATAACAGCAAAACTCTGTCTCAAAAAAAAAAAAAAAGCATTCTGGAATTTAAAAAGTCCTGAAAGGATACAAAAGAAATTGATCATTGTGGTTGTCTGGGGAGGGAACAAGGAGGCAAGGGTTGTAGGGTAAGAGGAAAATATACTTTGCATCAAATACCCTTTTGTGTCAATAAACTTTTTAACAAGTACATAGTTTGTACCTGGTACCAGGTTATATACCAGGTACATAAATACTAAAAACAAATTAGTTGACATTTAAGGTAAGATGTGATCATAGCTTAACATAAAGGAAAGGAGAAAGCCCACTTGTTCTACTAAATTACCTACTCTACTTTTTCTGAAATTCTTTCATTAAGAAACAAACATTTTCATTTCAAAGGGCAAGATCATCAAATTTGTAAATATAACTTGAATCACTGCTATGAATGAATTTCGGCATAAATAGAAACTGTTATCAGGTCCTTTCCTGTCTTCACAATGATTCTGAAGCAGGCAAACACTGAAGCTTAGAAGGGGAAATGCAGAAGGATATGCAGAAATGAACAGAAAGGAGAAACTGGGAAGGATGAAACACAGTTTGCTTATTTCACAACTGCTTGCAGTTTGCCTTCACTGGTGGACACAAAAAATACAAAATACTGTTCAAAGTGATTTTACATCCTAATTGATAATATATTTCAAAACTTGACTAGGAACTATGATTACAACCAACTTATGATGACTGTATACTCTCTGAGAAAGAATGAAATAGAGTTGGATTTTTCTTTCTCACTTAATTGAAGAAACTAAAGCTTTTATAAAGTTAGGTGTGTCCTGGGTTCTGAAGAACAAACACAAAAGCTAATAATGGAGTCACATAATACATTCAACTTACTTGCAAAATATGTGGTCACACTTTGTGGAGACAGGTTCCTTGATCAACTCCAGACTAGTAGGGTGGGCGGGGGGGGGGGAAGGAAAATAAATCAGGCTCAATAATTTATTTAAAAACAAAGATATTCTTAGTAAAGAAGTTCAACTTTGAGCTGTTATAACTGAATCAACATAAGGCTTCACATTCATTCAATAAATCTGTATTCTGTTCAATGTCTGCTGTGCCAGGAACTAAGAATACAGCAGAGAATACGGTCCTTACTTTCAGTGAGCTTTCAAACATCAAAACAGAACTATATTGATCCCTTCAATACTCTATATTATCATCAGCATTGAAAAAATTAGTTGATAATAGTTCATAATATTTCCAGTAATGTATTTTTCTGCACTATCACTGTGAGTTCACATCTAGTATCTTAACTCTAAGCTCCATAAGGACAAAATTTTTTGCTTATATTTCTTTTGAATTCCTTCTAGCAGTTTTCTTTCTTTTTTTTTTTTTGAGTGTAAATGCCTTTTTAACTTAATATGGAAAATTTCAAGTATTTAAAAATTTCAAGTAAATAATAAAATGAACTCTATGGACCATCACCCTGCTTCGACAACCAGCAACTCATGGCCAATCTGTTTCATCCATATCCACTCCACCCCAGATTATTTTAATTATTATTACTTTTAAGATGAGATCTCGCTGTGTTGCCTAGGCTGGAGTGCAGTGGTGCGAACATAGCATACTGCAGCCTTGAACTCCATGAGCCATCATACTGGACCCAAGGGTTTTTTTTTTTTGAGATGGAGTTTCACTTTTGTAGCCCAGGCCAGAGTGCAATGGTGCAATCTTGCCTCACTGCATCCTCTGCCTCCTAGGTTCAAGCGATTCTCCTGCCTCAGCCTCCCAAGTAGTTGGAACTACAGGCATGCGCCACCGCACCTGGCTAATTTATTGTATTTTTAGTAGAGATGGGGTTTCACCATGTTGGCCAGGCTGGTCTCAAACTCCTGACCTCAGGTGATCTGCCTGCCTTGACCTCCCAAAGTGCTGGGATTACAGGCGTAAGCCACCACGCCCAGCCCCAAATTCTTCCTTGTCATTTATTTCAAAAATTAAGTCATTCGGGCTGGACGCAGTGGCTCACGCCTATAATCCCAGGACTTTGGGAGGCTGAGGCGGATGGATCACGAGGTCAAGAAATCGAGACCATGCTGGTCAACATGGTGAAATGCCATCTCTACTAAAAATACAAAAAAATTAGCTGGGCATGGTGGCACACACCTGTAGTACCAGCTACTGGGGAGGCTGAGGCAGGAGAATTGCTTAAACCCAGGAGGCGGAGGTTGGGGTGAGCAGAGATCGTGCCACTGCACCTCAGCCTGGGTAACAAGAGCGAAACTCCGTCTAAAAAAAAAAAAACAATTAGTCATTTGAACTGTAGAGTTTCCTGAATTCTGGATTTTGCTGATTGTATAACCCCATAGTGAGGTTTAACGTGTTCCTCTAGCCTTATTTCCTGTAGACTTACAGGCTTAATCAAATTCAGGTTGGCAAGAACACTTTACAGATGATACTGTGTACTCCAGAAGGGGCGTGATGTTTGGTATGAGATTACTTTGTAAAAACAGTGAAATAAGTACTCACTGAAGGAAATTTAGAAAATAATAAGCTTAAGGCTGGGCATGGTGCCTCATGCCTACAATATTAGCACTTTGGGAGGCTGAGATGGGCAGATCACTGAGCTCAGGAGTTCCAGACCATCCTGGCCAACAAGGTAAAACCCTGTCTCTGCTAAAAATACAAAAATTAGCCAGGCGTGGTGGTGCATGCCTGTGGTCCCAGCTACTTAGGAGGCTAAAGTGGAAGGATCACTTGAACCCTGGAGGAAGAGGTTGCAGAGTGAGCTAAGATCACACCACTGTACTCCAGCCTAGGTGACAGAGGAAGACTGTCTCAAAAGAAAATAAGCTTTAAAAAAATAAAAACAACTTGAGAAAATACATCACCCAAGTTCCCATCCCTGTCTATCTATAAAACCAAGGCCTTCCTGAGATTAATTCATTTATTATACTATAATAATTCATTTATTATAACAAGTATTTATTAAGTATCTATTACTATATTCAAGTACTATTCTAGGAGATGGAAATATAGCAGTTTACAAAATAAAGCCTGCTCTCATAGAGCTCACATTCTAGTGTGGTAGACAGTTGATGCAGAATTAAAGAATATATGGGAATAAGTGTATCTAAGAGAAAAAGCAAGCTGTGCATGTGGGAGTGAGATGAGATGTACACAGGGTAGGTTAGGAAAGGCTTCATTGAGATGAGACTGGAAAACAGCTTAACAATTTAAAGAAACACACCAACTGGGGGAAGAGCATTCCAGCAAATAGGGAGCAGAGAAGGAAAACCCTGAGCAGGACCATGCCTGTGTATGCAGGACATCAGACAGGTCAAGGTGCTAAAATATAATAATCGAGGGGGATATAGTAGGAAAAGACCATCAGAGGGATAGCTGGTAACTTCTGGTAGGAATCTGCAGGCTATTTTAAAGTCTTTAGCTTTATTCTGGTCTTTTTAATTTTTTTTTTTTTTTTGAGATAGTCTCACTCTGCCACCCAGGCTGGAGTGCAGTGGCACTATCTTGGCTCATTGTAATCCCTGCCTCTTGGGTTCAAGCATTTTTCCTGCCTCAGCCTCCAAAAGTGCCGGGATTACAGGTGTGAGCCACCATGCCTGGCTGTCTTTTTAATTTGTAATATTAATTTTTGTAGAGACAGGATCTCACTATGTTGCCCATGCTGGTCTTGAATGCCTGGCTTCAGCAATCTTCCTGCTTCGGCTTCCCAAAGTATTGGGCTTACAGGTATGAGCTACCATACCCAGCTGGCGTTTTGCTTTCTGCTGAATGTGAATTTTTTTTAGGGGCTGGAGTCTTGCTCCATTCCCCAGGCTGCAGTGCAGTGGTGTGATCTTGGCTCACTGCAACCTCCGCCTCCTAGATTCAAGTGATTTTAGTGCCCCAGCCTCCAGAGTAGCTGAAATTACAGGCACTTGCCTTCACGCCCAGCTAATTTTTTTTTTTTTAGTAGAGATGGGGTTTCCATGTTGGCCAGGCTGGTCTTGAACTCCTGACCTCAGGTGATCCACCTGCCTCAGCCTCCCAAAGTGCTGGGATTATAGGCATGAGCCACCAAGTCCAGCTGAACCCCCGCCTTTTCTTGTTTATTAGTTCTGTCCCTCTAGAGAAGAACTGTTTTTTGGGTTCACTTTGCTCCTCAGGCTGGAGTGCAGTGGTGTAATCTTGGTTCACTGCAACCTTTGTCTCTCGGGTTGAAGTGATTCTTGTGCCTCAGCCTTCTGAGTAGCTGGGACGACAGGCGCATGCTGCTACACCAGCTAATTTTTTTGTATTTTTGGAAGGGAAGGGGTTTCGCCATGTTGCCCAGACTGGTCTTGAACTCCTGACCTCAAGTGATCTACCCACTTTGGCTTGGATTACAAGCGTGAGCCACTACACCTAACCCTAAATGTGAACTTTTGAAAGATTTTTTTGGTAAAAGTCTAGGCAGGACATCAAAGAACAAGTAATCTGGTAGTGTGACAAGAATGTGGTTGCTTCCATTAAATATTTAACTTTTTAGAAAATGATAAAAAGGGCCAGGTGCAGTGGCTGACACCTGTAATGCTAGCACTGTGGGAGGCCAAGGTGGGAGGATCACCTGAGGTCAAGAATTCAAGACCAGCCTGGCCAACATGAGGAAACCGTGTCTCTACTAAAACTACAAAAATTAGCTAGGCATGGTGGCACACGCCTGTAGTCCTGGCTACTCAGGAGGCTCAGGCAAGAGAATCACTTGGACCTGGGAGGCAGAGGTTGCAGTGAGCAGAGATCACACCACTGCACTCCAGCCAGCCTGGGTGACAGAGTGAGTGAGATTCCATCTCAAAAAAAGACAAAAACAAGGTTACAAGAAAAGCTTGAGGACAGTAACCTTATTGTGAAGGGTTTGATAATACAATTCTTGTAATCATGGGGTTCCTGACGAAGCATAGGGCAATGGAAAGAAAAACACTGGACTAAGTCAGAAGGCTGGGTTTCTACTAGCAGTTGTGTATATAAGCAGAGCCACCTTGGGCTAACCACTCCACCTGAACCTCAGTTTTCTTCTGTGTCACTCACCCTGCCAGTCTTCTTGGGAAAATGCTTCGCAACCTGAGATGACTTGTACCAATGTTGGTATTATTACTGGGACCCAACGTGACTTTAAAAAGAAAAATAACCTTGACAAAGAAAATTCTAATTTGTTACTAAATCACTATTTCTGAGTTAAGCTATATTTCAAAGAAACTCTCCGTAAAAGAAAAATTGGATTTAGTTATGATACCAGATGGCTTTCATTCTCACCACTGACTCAATTCTGAAATAATTATATTTCAGTATGGTAATTATAATCCAAGCTATATAAACACACTGTAAACACAAACTTTGAACAGATGAAAACTTCAATATGTAAAAAAGTAAGGAATGTTGAAGGAAGAATGTAAAAAGGGAATTGGAAAAAAATTAAAATGTTCCTCTTCTAGGTCCTAATGAGAGTAAATGTTTACTATAAAAATGATTCAAATATTTTAAACACTTTTCAAACCAGGCAATATTTTAGGCCTACCGTATATTTGCATTTTAAGCTTCCAATATGGGTAAATGACTGGAAAAAGCAGCTAGGTTTAGGTTGAAAAATAACCCACTGGGGTACACATTTTAGCAAATTATTCTGAAAGTCAAAAATGTGAGTCTTATGTAAAAAGTTACAAAGAACTACCAATTATCAGAAATAGCTGCCAGTAGTGACTTAGAGACCAGCAGAAAGAATTTTAGTTTGAGAAACCTAAAAAGGCTGAAAACCTACCCTATATCTACCACAAATAATACTGTTTCTGTCCATGATCATGAATCGTGTATTTTTTTTTTGAGACGGAGTTTCACTCTTGCTACTCAGGCTGGAGTGCAATGGCGCGATCTCGGCTCACCGCAACCTCCGCCTCCTGGGTTCAAGCAATTCTCCTGCCTCAGCCTCCCGAGTAGCTGTGACTACAGGTGCGCACCACCATGCCCAGCTAATTTTTGTATTTTTAGTAGAGACGGGGTTTCACCATGTTGACCAGGATGGTCTCGATCTCTTGACCTCGTGATCCACCCGCCTCGGCCTCCCAAAGTGCTGGGATTATAGGCGTGAGCCACTGCGCCTGGCCAACTTTCATTCTTATATCTTTAATTTTTGTGTATCTGATTTTACTTGATGGTTTAATTAGCCAGAACGAGAAAGAACACGCTATTTTTATGACTCTGTCCCATGAAAATGTAAACATAAAGGGACCCAAATGCCACACTAGTGAGGATTTTTTTGATCACTGTGGTTGTCATGAGTAAGTTTTACGCTTTTTCAAAAGCAGTTTTTTCCTACAATGTCATTTCCTGCTTCTGACGCTGATTTTCAATACATTGATAAATTACAAATCTTGTTTTCCTCTGATTTTATTTATTTATTTATTCTTTTGAGATGGAGTTTCACTCATTACCCTGGAATGCAACGTGGCAATCTTGGCTCACCACAACCTCTGTCTCCCAGGTTCAAGAGATTCTCCTGCCTCAACCTCCCAAGTAGCTGGGATTACAGGCATGTGTCAGCACACTGGCTAATTTTGTATTTTTAGTAGAGATGGGGTTTCTCCGTGTTGGACAGGCTGGTCTCGAACTCCCAACCTCAAGTGACCTGCCTGCCTTGGCCTACCAAAGTGTTGTGAGCCACCCTGCCTGGCCTTCCTCTTATTTTTGTTTAGCTAAAATGTTGACCGGCAAGGGAGAGGATGGCTATTTATAAACATTGTATCCCTCTGAAAGCATAATTTGCATTTTCCTTAATCTGGTTAAGTTGACACCAAATATGAGAAACAACTTTCATAAAGAACAAAAGAAAATTTGCTTGAATTTACCCTTCTTTATTGAGGGTAAGAGGCAATAGGTACAACTTTTCACCTTATTTTTTGAATGTTCCTATTAACCATCACCGTATTTTACAAAATTAAACTATCAAAGAAGTAATCCAGTTCAGTTTATTATTTAATTTATTCGACAAACGCTTATTGAGTGGCAACTAGGTCCCAAGTACTGTTCTAACTACTGAAGATACAGATGTACGTGAACAAAACAAAAATCTCTGGCATCCTGGAGTTTACATTCCGTGGGAGTAGAGATTAAGGCTGAATACATTACACAGAATGTCAGCTTAATAAGTGTTATGGAGAAGCAGCAGGAATGGAGGATAAAGTGTGTGTTTGGGGTACTGCAATTTTAAATAGCACTGTATGGAAAAGAAAGGTGGTATTTCTATCAAGATTTTCAAACTGTGGCTGGGTGCAGTGGCTCATGCCTGAAATCCCAGCACTTTGGGAGGCCAAGGTGGGTAGATCACTTGAGGTCAGGAGTCTGAGACCAGCACAGCCAACATAGCAAAACCCTATCTGTATAAAGAAATATAAAAATTAAGCCGGGCGCGATGGCTCACACCTGTAATCCCAGCACTTTGGGAGGCTGAGGCGGGCGGATCACCTGAGGTCAGGAGTTCAAGATCAGCCTGACCAATATGGTGAAACCCCGTCTTAAAAAAAATAAAAAAATAAAAAATAAATATAACAATTAGCTGGGCATGGTGGTACACACCTGTAGTCCCAGCTACTCTGGAGGCTGAGGGGGGAGGATCACTTGAGCCTGGCAAAGTTGAGGCTGCAGTGAGCTGTGATAGCACCACTGCACTTCAGCCTCTCGACAGAACTCCTGTATTAAAAAAGCCTCTACATTTCATTGATGTAAATTATACCTCAATTCAAAAACAAAATATGAATAGTACAGTCCCCACTTCCTTTTATAGATGAAGAAAAACAACGGCTCACTCAGAGTCAGACTTGCTAAAGGTTTTTGTTAACTTGCAGTATTCTTATTCAAGTGTACACAGCCAGTTTCAGACAAAGCTTCTTCCAAAGACCTATCCCCTCAATGACACCAATCATCCATGATTTTTTCTTTTGAGATGAAGTTTAGTTCTGTCAAGGCTGGAGTTCAGTGGCACAATCTTGGCTCACTGCAACCTCTGCCTCCCAGGCTCAAGCGATTCCCCTGCCTCAGCCTCGTGAGTAGCTGGGATAACAGGCACACGCCACCATCCCCAGCTAATTTTTGTATTTTTAGTAGAGACGGGGTTTCACCACATTGGCCAGTATGGTCTCGATTCCTGACCTCATGATCCACCCACCTTGGCCTCCCAAAGTGCTGGGATTACAGGCGTGAGCCACCCGTGGCAAGCCTCATCCATTTTGCCATTTCAAGTGATGGAGGTGGTTTTAGAGTTAGAAGAAAGCCAAAATGCCACTTAATCTAAACTAGATTCCTGCCCCAGTGCAGAACCAATCAAGACAGGATCCCCGTCTTTCCTGGACCACAGGATTTGTGTTGAAGAGGAGAGGAGTGGGAGCAGCAGAGTGGATGAAGAACAAGGAGTCATTTTCTATATTTTTAAAGTTCTTCAGTTAAAAAAATCAGCAATTCCAATAGCCTAATCTTACTAGATAGGTCTTTTCCTCACTACTGTGTAAGGTCAATTCTGTTCATTTGCATTGGAGGTGATCATACAGGAATTCCAAATTAATAACCTCATGTGTTGACTTACCAGATTGGACACTCTAAGATTTTCTGCATAGCATTAAGGACATTTTGTACTTCTTCAACATGAACAGCAGATAAATCCATTTCTTTCTGTTCCAATAAACTTTGACATATTAGAAAAACATATGTATTTATATTTTTAAAAGATTTATAAAATGACAACATCTTTTCATTTAAAAATAAGGTAAATATAAGATTTAGAAGGTTTTAGAATAATATAAACCATAGAGCTAATAACAAAAGCCTTTATTTTTAAAGATTCTAGAAGTTGCTTTTTGTAATTAGACAACATAAATTCTGTATTTTTTCACATATCGTTTCTAATCCCTTGGGTCTTTTCCTTTCTCCAAGAAAGAGAAAGCCACAAGGGAGTGACTGACCGGGTAGGTAGTGGCAGCCTTAGCTTTCTCGAATGCTTCTGGCTGTTTTTTTCTTCTTGCATAAAACCGAAACCAACAACAACAAAACCAACACACCAACCAACGCCTCCCTGCACCTAACCTTTCCCAGTAACCTGATCTCATCGCAGGATTCGCCTTAAGCACATCCCTGCAGCATCTGTTGCTACTAAAGCTCCTCTACTTCCCTCTTGTGCTTTATCAATATCAGAAATGGATCCAGTTCTTAAGGGTTCTCTCTCCCACAAAATCCTGTCTCCTCCCCTTCCCAGATGTGTTCCTGCCACCTCTTCTTCCACAAGTTCCCGTCCTCTCATATATACCAGCTGGTGGGTTGTTTTTTTTTTTTTGTTTCTGTCGCCCAAGCTAAGTGCAATGGCGCGATCTCGGCTCACCGCAACCTCTGCCTCACGGGTTCAAGCAGTTCTCCTGCCTGAGCCTCCTAAGTACCTGGGATTACAGGCGTGCACCACGACGCCCGGCTAATTTTTGTATTTTTAGTAGAGACGGGGTTTCACCATGTTGGTCAGGCTGGTCTCAAACTCCGTGATCCGCCCATCTCAACCTCCTAAAGTGCTGGGATTACAGGCGTGAGGCACTGCTCCTGGCCACCAGCCGGTGTTCTTATGGACACGTGTGACATGGTAAAAGCCCCATAAAACTGCATACCTCAACCATACCTCGGCTTTCTTTTTTCTTTTTTTGAGACGGAGTTTCGCTCTTGTTACCCAGGCTGGAGTGCAATGGCGTGATCTCGGCTCACTGCAACCTCCGCCTCCTGGGTTCAGGCAATTCTCCTGCCTCAGCCCCGAGCAGCTGGGATCACAGGCACGCGCCACCGTGCCCAGCCAATCTTTTGTATTTTTAGTAGAGACGGGGTTTCACCACGTTGACCAGGATGGTCTCGATCTGTTGACCTTGTGATCCACCCGCCTCGGCCTCCCAAAGTGCTGGGATTACAGGCTTGAGCCACTGCACCCGGCCCACACCTCGGCTTTCTATTGAAACTGCTCTCTGTGACTCAAATGTGACAGGCAAGCAGTCCAAACCCATGCCATCTTGGCCCCTGCGACTTGTAATAAGTAATTAAGGTCTGTAATTTCCACCCTACCCAGACAATGTGTAAACAAATGCTAATCTTGACTTTTGTGAACTACTTAAGTAACAATCAGAATGTCAAAAGTCCTCTGGCCCTCGGAGTGTCCGGAGCCCCTCACCCTCATCTTCGCCTAGGAATCCACTGGAATGTCCAGAGCCCCTCACGCTCATCTCCACCCAGGATGATTCACAGCATCCACTAGCCCTCAGAACGTCTGAAGCCCCTCACCCCCAACCCCCGCCCTTTGTCCTCACTCCCGAGGTGGTTTTACGGGTATAAAAGGTCTTGACACCCTCCTTTGGGGGCCACGGGTTGGAGAGACGCGAGTCCTCGGTGGCCGCCGGCAATAAAGACCCTGCAATTTGGCATACTTTTGTCTTGGTGTTGACTTTCTATGCTCAGGCCAGTACAACAGACGTTGTTCCCCTCGAGGCACATTCCAGTTCCTATAACTAGGATTCCCCCTCAGACACACCATGCCCTCTTCCTTATCCTCGGTGCTTCCCTCGCGATCTACAAACTGCCCCCCGCCCCAGGGTTCACAACGCCTTACGCCTCTTAGGTTCCACCGTCCTCCCACCCCCAGCCTAAAGAATACCTATCTGTTCTGCTTTGGAAATTCACTCTCGCCCGCCAGTCCCCCGGAGCATCGCTTGGGACCCTGTCCCTTTCCCGGGGTTCTATTACCTTTACCCAGAGCAGAGCGTACAGGCGTCAGGACCTCTTGGGACCAGGGGCCCAGTTATCTGAGAAACCTCACGCCCCGTCCACCATTCAGAGTCTCAGCGAGCTCACGCCGCGCAGTCGCAGTTTAAATTTATCTGTAATTCCCGCGCTTTTCCGTTGCCACGGAAACCAGCGGGCTGCCACTGAACAACAGCCTCCTAGAATTCAAGACGCATTACAGGAAGGGCGAGACAGAAAGAGCCAAGCGTCTCTCGGGGCTCTGGATTGGCCACCCAGTCTTCCGCCGAATGGCGTAGAAAGAAAGAGACGGAAAAGGAGGCACTCTTACCTGGGTTTGCCAGAAAGCGCCCGCCCTCTCTCCGCTACGCTAACGCTTGCGGCTTATTACGTCACAGTAATTGCTGTACGAAGGCCAGAATCGCTACCAAAGACCTGAATGTGAGCGCGAGATAGCGTTCAAAGCTGTCGTAAGAGCTTCCGTTCCCCCACTCTTTCCGCTCCAATGGAGGTCTCCTGTTTAGGTAAATAAAAGGATTGTGGTGGCGGGGGGTGGGGGACGGCGATGGAAGAGAACTACAATTTCCACCATGCATTGCGGAATGAAAGGCCTTCGCCACCGTGTTTCTTGAAAACTGTAGTCTTATGGAGCTGACCATCCAATACCGAAGCGGGCACAATTCTCACGGAAATCCAGTGGATAAATTGGAGACCTCCGAGCCCTTATACATGTCAACAGTTATGGATTGGAGTGTTGTTATGTTTTGTATCTTGAGAGCGGAGACTAGGCCAAAAAAAAAGATACGTATAACTCCTAGGAAGACTACAATTCCCATCCAGCCCCACTAGTCCTCTAAGGTTAGTTGCCTGTGGGATCGCAGGGGCTACCGTATTTGCCTGGGGAAGGGGAAATCCGCTCTGACCCACGTCTGCGCACTCGTAGTTCCGCCCCTCGACCCCAATGTTTGTTATTGTTGTTCAGTTACAGGTTGCTTCTGCCCCGCCCCCGTCGATACAATCTCCACCAATCAATGGGGTGGTTGTTTTGAGGGACAAATGGCAAGATCCAATCATCTTGTCGGAAACTCAGAGAACCAGGGGACTAGTTACTGTCTTTATCCGCCATGTTAGATTCACCGCCACAGGGATAGCGGCAGAGCTGGCTGCGGACGGTCCTTGCATTGGCCTCTGGCAGGCGCCCCCCGGGGGCGGGAAGCTGGTAAGGAAGCAGCTGCGGTTACCTAGGAGTGGGGTCACGTCACACTAAGAGGGTTTGGGGAAGTTCAAGAGAGGAATCCTGCAAAGAAGACGGGGCACTTTTTCCGTGTCTCGGGACACCTAATCTTTTTAGTGATTGGATGAGAGAGCCCTTCTTGTTCAGAGGGACCGAGTGGGCGAAAAGCGCTGGAGAGGTGGAGGGTCTGTGGTTCAGAACATCCGGCTTCAACTGGTGGAAGGCCACGACTCCCCCGCAGAAAGAGGGCCTAGGCAAAGAAATTGAGAGGGAGTCCTCGGGGTGGTGACACCGTCTTGGGAACATGGAGTGCTGGGAAACGATAACTGGAAGACTAGGATGAAGTCTGCAAGTAAAAATATGACACTACCCACATATTCTCATCCCATCCTTCTTTTTTCGGGACCCTCTTAAAGCGATCCCTTTGGTTAGGGACCTTCGGTTTTGGAAAGGCACTATTTTTCCTTTTTATCAAACACCCAGCTTTCAGGACACACTTTTTTTATTTTTTATTTTTCTGAGACAGAGTCTCGCAGTGTTGCCCAGGCTGGTCTTGAACCGCTCCTGACCTCAGGTCACACATTTTAAAGCTTCGATAACTTGGCTTGTACAGGCCTCTGGTGGAGACAGTAATCAAAGCTCAGGTTTCCAGGTCTGTTTCATTAAAGGGATTTTGTTGAGGCTGGAAGAAGAAAAAAATCGACGTAGAGGAAAAGCTAACTTGTGTCAAGCAAAGGTGAGTCAGTGGCATGGACTTAAAATAATGCCAGTTACGAAAGCCCTGGGACCCAGCTATCTGTCTTACTGGCTTTAGACCTAAGGGGCAGATGGGGTTAACCATAGCTTTGGTATTTACAGAAGTTCAAGATTAATGTTCTTGTGGAAAGAATCTTTTTACATGTCAGCCAAAGATAGTTTCTTATGAAGACCTGGATATGGTCCAGCTAAGCTAGAATCTCCCACTTCCTGTTTTCTCTTAGTTGGCCGACCAGCTGGAGGAGCTCCAGAGTATCTAAATTAATTTCCAATTGTGTAATTTGAGAAACAGAGGAAGATTCATTTCCTTAAGTGTGTTTCTTGAAGTTAGAAAGTGATATTTCAGAATATCCACTTTTGGCAGACTGAGTCAGTCACTTCATTTCCCTGACTTTTTGCCTAAAGTCCTGGGGAATTGAAAAAAATTCTGCCCAAATCTTAAGGACCCCAAGAATTACATTTCACATGAATGAATACTAGATGTCAGCAGGATGGTTGTTAACACGGTAGTATTGTTTTGGTGGTGAACTTGAGTCTAGGTAGAAACAAAGAATGAAGAAAATTGAAGGATAATCGTCTTAGGGTTTCACAAAAGTGCCTGATCTTCACAGAGTTCAGAGTCCTTAAAATGATAGTCTTAATTGTAGTGTTTTACAGGGCAATGCATTACATTGTGGAAAACAGTACAGGTTTATGGTTTTACAGATTGGTTTATTATTTAAAACCTTTTTTAAATTTAACTTAATTTTTTAAGGAAATGGGGTCTGGCTTTGTTTCCCAGGCTGGTCTTGAACTCCTAGGCTCATGATCCTCCTGCCTCAGCCTCCCAAAGTGCTAGGATTACAGGCAGGAGCCACTACACCTAGCCAATTTTTTCTTTTCATTTTTATTTTTATTTTTGAGACAGAGTCTTGCTCTGTCACCCAGGTGGGAGTGCAGTGGCATGATCTTGGGTCACTGCAACCTTGCCTCCAAGGTTCAAACAATTCTCATGCTTTAGCCTCCTGAGTAGCTGGGATTACAGACCTGTGCAACCACACCCACCTAATTTTTGCTTTTTTAGTAGAGACAGGGTTTCACCACGTTGGCTAGGCTGGTCTCGAACTCCTTGACTCAAGCAATCTGCCTGCCTCTGTCTCCCAAATGCTGGGATTAAAGGCATGAGCCACTGTTCTGCGGATTACCTGAGTCGAGAGTTCGAGACCAGCCTGACCAACATGGAGAAACCCCATCTTTATTTTTAAAAAAATACACTTAGCTGGGCGTGATGGCACATGCCGGTAATCCCAGCAACTTGGGAGGCTGAGACAGGAGACTCGCTGGAACCCGGGGGGCAGAGGTTACGGTGAGCCAAGTTCATGCCATTGTAGTGGAGTCTGGGCAACAAGAGTGAAACTCAGTCTCAAAAAAAAAGAATTGTGAATTTCTTAGATATGCTAATGGTATCTAGACTGTTTTTTAAAAAATTCTTATCTTTTAGAGGTACATACTCAATTATTGATGGATAAAAGGATGGATGTCTGGCAAAATAATCTAGTAAGGAAAAAAGAGTATTGCTGTTATAGCAAATTGGTCCTGAGTTGGTAATTATGGAAGAAGCTAGCTTATGGGTCCATAGGGATTCATTATATTATTCTCTCTACTTTTGTATAGGTTTAAATTTTCCCATAAAAATATTTTATAAAATAGGCTGGGTATGGTGGCTCACCCCTGTAATCCCAACACTTTGGGAAGCCAAGACGGGCGAATCACTTGAAGTCAGGAGTTTGAGACCAGACTGACCAACATGGTGAAACCCTGTCTGTACTAAAAGTACAAAAATTAGTTGTCGTGGTGGCATGCACCTGTAGTCCCAGCTACTCTGGAGGCTGAGGCAGGAGAATTGCTTGAACCCAGAAGGTGGAGGTCGCAGTGAGCTGAGATCACACCACTGCACTCCAGCCTGGGTGACAGAGCAAGATTCTGTCTCAAAAAAAAAAATTAAATAAATAACATAAAATAATTAGATTATTATAGTTTGGTAAAAACATTAGTTCACTATGGTCAATTCAGTCTTGGGGCAAAAGTGGCGGATGCAGGAGTATATATGCAATGAGGATAACCCTGAGTTGATTATTGGTTTAACTAGGTGTTTACTACTCTCCACTTTTATATATGTTCGAAACCTCCCATTTAAAAAAATCAGTAGATTGTAAAAAAACTTAGTCACTTGGGCCGGCCATGGTGGCTCACTCCTGTAATCCAGCACTTTTGGGAGGCCCAGGCGGGTGGTTAAGAGTTCAGGAGATTGAGACCATCCTGGCCATGGTAAAACCCCATCTCTACTAAAATACAAAAAATTAGCTGAGCGTGGTACCACTTGTCTGTAATCCCAGCTACTCATGAGGCTGAGGCAGGGGAATTGCTTGAGCCTGGAAGACAGAGGTTGCAGTGAGCCCAGATTGTGCCACTGCACTCCAGCCTGGCAGCAGAGCAAGACTCCATCTAAAAAAAAAAATACATAGTAACTTGGATGGAAGATTTTGAATGCTACCTATGTGTAGTTTCTTGGCTAATATTTTGGCCTATAAGTTGTTAAAACTGATAGAAAACCTCGGTTCTCAAGTTAGGAAAAGCCTCCTGCAAGACAAATGTAGAACGTCACTCTCAAGTCAAACAAGAATACAAGTTCCTTGAGGGCATCTCTTACCCATCTTGATATCTTCTGCTACTAGTATTTGTTTAATCAAGCAATCATCATAAAGTACCGGTAAATATTTAAGGATTTTACAAATGCTAGTTGATTTCTGAGAATATGGTCAAAATTTAAATACTCTCAGCATACTTTTATTTTTTTTTTTTTTTGGAGACAGAGTCTTGCCCTGTTACCCAGGCTGGAGTGCAGTGGTGCAATCTTGGCTCACTACAACCTCTACCTCCCAGGTTCAAGCAGTTCTCCTTCCTCAGCCTCCGGAGTAGCTGAGATTACAGGTGGACATCACCGCACCTGCCTAATTTTATTGCATACTATTATTTCTTTTTTTTTTTTTTTTGAGACAGAGTTTCGCTCTTGTTACCCAGGCCGGAGTGCAATGGCGTGATCTCGATTCACTGCAACCTCCACCTCCTGGGTTCAGGTAATTCTCCTGCGTCAGCCTCCTGAGTAGCTGGGATTACAGGCATGCGCCACCACGCCCAGCTAATTTTTTGTATTTTTTTACTAGAGAAGGGGTTTCACCATGTTGACCAGGATG